TTTTTTTTTTAAAGACAACTTTCAGTAAATTTAAGTTAGATTGTAATTCTGTTTATGGTCATGTTTGAAACTTTATCAGCTGAAAACTCTTCCAGTGCAAAACCCTTAAAATATGCTGATAAATTCCAGCAGACACTTGAAATGCCTATTTGTGATTAGAAGATAACTAAGGAAAATTTTGAGGTTAAATATGAACTTCTACTTAAGGATACTTATTCTCCCCACCCCCTTTATATCTTGAGTGAGATACTTAGGTCATTAATTTTAGAAAAGAAGAATCAGAAATCCTCTCTTCACACTTACATTGGGTATTTAGCATTTTGGTTCCATTTATAGATTTTGGAAACACAGAATAGTGTGTTTGGGAGGAAGAATGATTTCTTTAACATGTTGAGAATATTGGAGAAGTTATTTCAGGCAGGTGTTAGCAGTAAGAATAAAGGAATAGAAATGAGAACAGTTGGAAAACACTAGAAAGAACATTGTTACTAGAACTGTGGTTTCTGTTATAATTAGATATGAAATATTTTAATTCAAAAATGTTTAAGTCTTAGTTTTAAAAACCTACTCTAAAGTATGCACACACAATAATTTTGAGTTGAACTTAAAAGGTAGCCATTCTAAAGAAATTGTCTAAAAGTATAACAGTAATGCAAATGTAATAGAGTAGAAACTAAACATCATATAAATTTCCAGACATAAAAAAACTCCCAACATTGCTATTAAAAACAGATTATTATATTTTTTCTTTGTTAAAAAACAGCTTTATTGAGATACATCTCACAGCTGTACAGTGCACTCATTTAAACTCTATAGTTCAATGACTTTCAGTTTATTCACAGAATTGTGTTACCATCACTCCAGTTAATTTTGAAATATTTTCATCACCCCAAAAACCTTGTACCCTTTAGCTATCACTCCCAGCATTCCCCTCGTATTCCCAAGCCTTATGCAACCTCTCATCTGCTTTCTGTTTCTGCAGATTTGCCTATTGTGGTATCTCATTTGGTTTGATTTGCATATGCCTAATGACTGTTAATATGCTTTTTGGAGAAATGTCTATATACATTTTTTGCATATTTTAAAATTTGATTATTTATCTTTGTGTTGTTTAGTTGTTCAGTTGTAATAGTTTATTATATATTCTGGACCCATAGACCCTCATCAAGTATATGATTTATAAATATTTTCTCCTTTTTTAGGTTGTCTTTTTCCTTTTTTTTTTTTTTTTTTAAAGAGATGAGGTCTTGCTCTGTCACCCAGGATGGAATGCAGTGGCACGATCTCAGCTTCCTGCAGCCTTGAAATCCTGGGCTCAAGCAATCCTCCTGCCTCAGCCTCCTCAATAGCTGGGATTATAGGTGCAAGCCACCCTAGCCTAGCTGTCTTTTTACTCTTTTAATAGTGCTCTTTGAAACAGAAGAGTTTTTAATTTTGGTGGTCCATTTTGTCATTTATTTATTTATTTATTGGTTGTTATGCTTGAGGTATCTATTATTGTATTTTTTTGTACTTTTGAAAATGATTTCTGTAAATCACTTGATCTTGCATTAAGATGTAATCATGCTACAATAATTTTATTAGCATTTAAGACTGATAAAAAACTATTATAAACAGTAGCGTTTACAATGTTTTCTTTCTTTTTTTAACTTAATTTTGCCTAACATTTTTTTTACAGCTCTATAGTATCAACCCTCCTTGCTCTTATGGATGGATTAGATAATAGGGGTGAAATTGTTGTTATTGGTGCTACAAATAGACTTGATTCTATAGATCCTGCACTCAGGAGACCTGGTCGTTTTGACAGAGAATTCCTTTTCAACCTGCCTGATCAAAAGGTAAGAGTTGCTGTTTTCAATAACACTAAATTTATATGTAATTCAATTATAAGGCATATATACTCTGAGCATGATATTTTATGAATTTTCATTGTTCAGATTTTGTGCTTATGGACTATCTTAGTTAATGCTTAAAAAACCTTATGTAATGAACAATTTTTTTTCTATTAACAATTATAAGAAAGTTTATGATTTTTAGCAAGTAAAAGGAAAGTTCTTGATTAGGTTACTATAGATGCTTACTTGCTTCAATTCTCCACATTGTGGTAATTGCCTTGCATCGCCAATTATGTGCTCTAATTACCCAAAGTAGCTTTGTTCCCATGAAAATAATATTTTTGTTGACTATTGGTGGGTTTATGAAGAAGGACCCAGACCTAAATTTTCATAGAAATAACTATAATATCATATTTAATTAAAAGCAGCAAACGTAATTTGGTATGGTGTAAAGTTTTAAAAAGAATATGTTATTCCAGCCTGAGCAAGAGTGAGACCCTGTCTCTATGAAAAATAGAAAAATTAGCCGGGCATGTTGGCACGTACCTATAATCCCAGCTATACTCAGGAGGCTGGGGCAGGACGATTGCTTGAGCCCAGGAGTTTGAGGTTACAGTGAGCCATGATGAGGCCACTGTACTCCAACCTGGGCCACAGAGTAAGACCCTGATTCCAAAAAAAAAAAAA